GGAGGAACACAATGCATTCCAGAAGTCACAGCAGAGGTGGCTGGACTATCTGTTGAGACAAGTAAACATTTGCCCCATAGGGGTTTCAACATTGGAACCTGTTCTACATTAAAACGTGTGTGAACATTGCCCGCAACTGTTAGGCCTCAGTTCTGCAATTCCAAAATGATTTTCAGGATCATTTATATCTTGACTGTATGTAAAATGGCAGAAAATGGTAAACGCACTTAAAATATTTCAGTTTAAATTGACAAATAGGCTAAGGACCATTGAGAATCATACAAAAACAGTTTGGAGATTTGTGATTTTGCTGATGCTGTGTAATTTATTAAAACTTATAGGTTTTGGTTCTATATATATTCGTTGTTGTTGCAGACACCTACTGATGGAATGTTAACATAACATAATGTTATGAGGGCTCAGCACCCGTGGCTGTGATGATCTCAGGTTTCTGTTTGGATTCTGGTTAGTGCTACTCATGGGCCCCTTGTTCAATATATTTCTGGTAATTATTTACACACAACAACCCTTAAGTGTTACTCTACATTTAACCGACCTGAATTCGTCTATAACAGAAGGCCAAGAATGGGTGGAGAGGAGATGTTCATTCTCCTACTGGGAATAGACATCTGCAGTATCAGAAAGGAGGTCAGATGAGCAGAGACTGACTGACTGACTGAATGGTGCTTCTTTTAGAGCCAACAAGGGAAGCAAATTGGCTATTTCTGTGTGGAATTGTTCACACAGCCTACAGTATATCCTTCTCATTGTGAATTGGATGCTGTTCTCTCTTGGGGTTTGTCCAAGTGTTTACACCTACTAATGTGGATTAATCAACATAGACACATTGTAGGTGCCTGAATCCTTAACCTTTAGGGAGAACAGGTCCTTTCACAGATGGTCTTGCATTCAAGTGCTAGCCCAGCAGTGGGGCTCTGTCTCTGGGGTGAGGGCAAACCACTGGTGCCCTGACAGCCAGGAGCGTTGATGGGCAGTGGAGTGGAGAGTATGAATCCCTGTCCTACTCTGGGGATCCGACCCAGTGACAAAAGCTAGAAGGTCACAGTGTTGTCAGTATGGGATCATTTTGACTCCTGCCATTTTGCAGTGATAAATGGCACCTGCCTTGGTGTTTATTCCCTCAAAACACTTGTTTCATTTTAAAAGATGGGTTTTTATTGCATGGATAGGTGCATATCGGCATGTTTGATCACTTGAATCTGCTGATATTTGGATGCAAAATAACACTAAAGTGCAGACTGTTGCCCTTAATTTCATGGGACTGTCAGTCATGCTGAGAAACCTCAGGGCTGGTTGCATAAGTATTAACATTAGAATAAATTATATTACTTATACAAGTAATGCAAAGTTTATCCAAACTCAATCTCAGCCCTGGATTCTCACTGTACCCTTGCCCATTTATCTACTCTTCATAACCAGTAACTGTACATTTGCTTTGAACATAAGCAGACATCTCCTGAGGAAGAGGAGATGTATAAACATATGGTGACTACAGAGTCATTGCAGCCAACAGCTGGACAGATACTGAGTAATCGCAGGGGAGAACAGAGGGGTAACTGCATTGCTGTGACTCATGTTAGCCCAGTTGAGCGTTTGTTTAACAAGGTAGGGACTGAAGGCACAATGAGGAGAAGACTCAAGATTCAGAATCTCGCTGCCAGCATTATTGCTTTGGTAAAGGCCAAAGGCACGCCCTAGCTTTTAGAGATGACTTTGTCTTATTCAGCAGTGGAGTCAAGCCTGTAAACCCAGCAATCCCTGCGTGATCCTCAGTGACTCACTTCAGTTCTCCTCCCTCAGACAGGCAGTTCCAGACATGGCGATTGGCATATAGTTATTGCTGCACTGACAGGGTGAGACAGATACTTAAAACTGACACTCAGCATTTGCGTGTTTGTGCGTGTCTGTGTGTGCACCACAGCCAACTCCACCAGCTGGCCTTGTTGTTGGGTGTGAGAGAGGTGGTGCCCTGGGTCAAGCCTCTTTGCATATCGTTGGATGAATCCGAGTGCCAATAAGGCCGGGGGGGACAAACGGAAGTGAACAAACAGATTAATCAGACTGGAGGCTGAAGAAGAATAGGGCTGTTTGTTAAGTCAGTCAGTGGTGAAACCTTTTAATCACTACCATGATTTAAACAGTAAACCTTTATGCTAAAGGGTAAAGATTGTAGGAGATTAAATAGAAGCAAGTATATTGAGCGCATCCTGTAGCACTATATATCTTTTACTTGTAATTATTCATAGGAACTGTGCTGTGTTTGTGCCTGATACATGCAGTGCAGGTTTTGAACACACCCAGGCAGGTAAGCCAATAGAAGGGTGTGTCTTCTTTCTACCAGCCCTCAGGACAGCACTCGTTTTCCCATGCAGCACCACACCCTAATTGTCAAACACAGCCTGGAAAACAGCCGATGCCATTTTTCTTTCAAATTGCTGTTATGAAGAGGCAAAATAGTTGTTTGACATTAACTGGATCAAGCGTGCTACCCTATACTCTCTGGTTATATGATATTTATTATGTCATGCGTCTGAGGCTGTTGGAGTACGCTGATTAAAAACTTTAATCTGAAACAGTTTTTCTGCCAAAAAGGTATCTTAATATGTAATTGGCTTCTCTCTCAGTTCTAGTATTGTCATGACGTTTGCTACACTCAAATGAATGAGATTCTTATAATGATAAAAGGACTACAGTTTCACCACAATCTCATGTGGGAGCTCCGTACAGGTGGTCTCTTAGCAACAACATGCCATTATTCTTATGTGTTTCTGTCATATCACTGTGCTAAAAGACTTGCAGTTGGTGAAAGGCAGAAGAAGGCAAGTGAGATGGAGGCAAAATGATGCAGAGGCAGGTCACAGTTTTTTTTCCCCAAGTATTCATGTGTTTGTTTCTGAAAGAAAGATAAAAGGGAGCTGTTGAACCTGTTGTCAATCATGAAGAATATTTAGTAAAAGCCCCAAGCACTGTGATCTTTATACAGTGTTGTGTTAGGCATTGTGTGAAGTCATCTGGAGTCACTTGAATGAAGATGCCATCACATTACGTGCCATTTTTCTAGCAGTATATCACATCAGGCACCACTTGCCTTATAATATGCGATTTAATGGAGTTTAAAATGACTTCAGCTCCTGAACATCTGCCTCCAGAATATAGTGTTTCAACAAGTTTATGGCTGCTGGTGCCTAGGGCCTTGAAATGATTGCATTATGCACTGCAGGAGATATCATAACATTCATTGCCTGCGGAACAGCAGATTTGTTCCCTATGCCTTTGACTGCGATGTAGAGAGAGGACTACTGCTCCACACACCCACCTTCTCGGCACGTCTGGGGGTGGATGGTTTAGAGACATTCTCTCTTCTTTTACTCATCACTGCTTTTACAAGGATAAAGACTGGAGATACTCGGTGCTAAATTCAAGGCGATGCTATATTGACTGCAAAGAGGCTTTGTAGCCATCGGTGATGTTAAAAAGTTGATTTGAAGTCATGTTGCGTGGACGTCATTCAAAGTATCTGCCACAAAATGCCATGCATATAGATATTCTTTGCTTTGCAGAAAGCATTAAATGCTTTACTCTGGGGGTGCAAGAGAGAAGGAGATGAAGAGAAAGAAAACTAGATGGAGACGTTCCACATCCTTGTTGGACTAGTCCCTAATTACTGTTGAGGCTGAAGCTGTAATTACACAGACTGAAAGAGACAGAAGCAGAGACAGAAATTTTTAGTTAGTGCTGTGGACAATGGTCTTACATTTATGGGTCATGGACTACAGTTAACATACCTGTGGCTAGTGTTACTGTATGTCGCTGTGGCACATGCTGCTACTTAAAGTAGCACTGGCCACATTGCACCCACTAGGCTAGCTGAGCAGCCACGGTGTTCTTCTGAACCCCAGACTACTCATACTATTGTACAGAAAGTAGGATATGCTGTTCTTTATATGACTTTTATGATATATGAATATGAGTTTCTTTTTGGTGAGGGCATTGTCATGTAGTGAAACTTTGCCATTGTAAGGTGACTATTGCAACTAATGCACACACTCTGTTATGATGCTCCCTGTACTCCCAGTTTATTAATTAATTTAAGCCCCAAGCATAGGTGTAAATTCAGCATGCATTCACATCTCTTGTTCACGTTATGTTCCTCTGGACCCATGCACATCGTCTCTGTTAACTGACAGAATAGCAGCATGTACATTTTTGTTAAAAGCTCACTGAGATGCATCAGCATGAAATAAGACAGACAGTGAAAAGCAATGCCACCTCCATGTCTCATTCAAATTGATGGAGCACTTAGTTAAAGACTGGCACTGTAGGAAGCTTAAATAGCAGATATAATGTAAATCCATTTTTCTTTATATTTCTTAAGCACAAAAAAAAACAGTTTTCTGTCTGTTTTTGACTGTGGTGAAATCTGAATGTTGTAAGGAAGAGGTTGGCAGCAGGGACCTCACAAGTCATTCATAAATCATAAAAACCATTTCTGGATGCT